TACCAAATTCACTTTCCAACAATTTTCCTATCAATTACATTTCCCTAGTATTCAAAAAATTTCTCCTCGGCTAAACGCCCATAATTATTATATAGATTGGGTTATGTCCTTTAAGGATTCACGTTCTAATCATTTTTAAGTGTTTGAAATGGAATCCAGTCTGTAAAGCTGCTATGGAATTGGTATAAGGATACTATACTAGCATATAATACAGTTGATTGTAATTGTTTATTCACCTATGTTGATTTAATTATTTGGACTCCAAACATATTGCTGATTGTAGAGAAGGTTATAAAAATTTGATAGCCATCATAGAACATTCGATAATTTGTCTCATCTCATGCCATAAAAAATTAAAAATTTGTTTCACCCAAACAGTAACAATCTTGTTCTCAAGTCCGTTTCAGAGTTTTTTGATTAGTGTAACTTTTATGTAATAATTAATTATCAAATTGACCCTGATTATAAACTATTTCAAAAATTTAACCTCGGCAGAAAACATAACACTAATTTGTCTCTGTTTGACCGTTGACCATCAAGCATACCCAGGTAATTCCCTCCCTACCGGATATTTTTTGAAATTTTTTTCCTACCCAGATAATCAAAAAAATACCATGATATATTTCAAAATTCTGAAAATTTTTTGAATTATTTACCCGGGTAAGAAGATGGTTACCCGGGTAAATATTCATACCTTTTAAGACGCAACTGCAACTCATGCCACTGCAGTCTTGTGCTTCTTCTCCCAACTGCTAGAAGATCATTGTGCTGTGAATTCTTGTTTCCATTGAGTGAAGCAATTTTGATGCAGGCAACATGAAAGTGGTGTGGTTCATTTACCATTAGAAAGCATATATAAGCAAAATATGTTTAGCTCTCTGCTCTACAGAAAAGTTGGAAATTGTGAAATCTAATGACCCAGTGAAGTAATAGGGAAGCGGCAAGGTGAAGAAACAAGTACAAAAATCCCTGGTATATGCTTTCTAATGGTAAATGAACCACACCATTTTCATGTTGTCTGCATCAAAATTGCTTCACTCAATGGAAACAAGTATTTATATATATATATATATATAGAGAGAGAGAGAGGGGTAGGATCCTTTGACATCAAATTTGACACCTCATCTGAGAGCTATTAGATCAAAAAAGATCAATGGTATCGCATGCTTACAAATCAGAGTCATTGATCTTTTTTGATCTAACGGCTCTCAGATGAGGTAGGATCCTTTGACACCGGTGTCAAATTTGAATTTTGATCATCTGAGAGCCGTTAGATCAAAAAAGATCAATGACTCTGATTTGTAAGCATGTGATACCATTGATCTTTTTTGATCTAATAGCTCTCAGATGAGGTGTCAAACTTTAAATTTGACACCGGTGTCCAAGGATCCTACCTCTCTCTCTCTCTCTCTCTCTCTATATATATATATATATATATATATATATATATATATATATATATATATATATATATATATATATATTAGAACAATGCTCAATAAGAAATCATCTTAATTGTACTATTGGTGTACATAAATATGTCCCATGGAGGGTGAAATATGTAGATATAGGGAATGTCCATAGTGTCAATGGTAGAGACCAAGGCACTAATTAATGAAGCTTCCCATGGTGTATAAGGGGGTGTGTGTACGACAAGGATGACTTTGCAGAGGAGCATAGTAACAACATAGTAAAGAGTGGGGAAGAAGATCCCCTCCATGTGTGAAGGAAACATTTAGAGAGAAGAGCCCTCTCTAACATGGGAGAGTCTGTTGGTCCCTCCGGTGAACTGTCCCCTCAAGTCATGTCTTGTCTAGAGACAAGACATGCTGCCCATTGTCAGTGTATAGGGGCAGCTGTGCAAGGAAGGGGAAAGCCCCAGTGATAAGCCTCTATAGCTTGCCATGAGTACCTTCTAGAAAGTTCTAGATATGGGCTTTAAGAAATTGGACCCAACTAGTGAGCCTAAGATGTGCATCCAGAACACTAACCACAATGCATTATAGAGTATTTTTGAGCTCTAAAAAGCATTCACCATCTCCACGAATTCACATACACCCTATGGTTGTGTTTCCATTGGACTATTGGCTAAAAGTAATGGATTTCCCATTGTCAATCACCTTAACCTTTGGTTTGTAGATATAATTTAACCTTTGGTTTGTAGATATAATTACCAGTTCTTCATCTAGATACTTATGTTTACTTCCGAACAAATCTAAAAGGATTTGAGTAAATTACGAATTCGGTAGAAAATTTATGTGGAATTCAATTTTTTTTTTTTTGAGTAAATAATATCATTTATTTGAATAGACGATATCATTTATTTGAGTATATGAAATATTGTTAATGTGGATTGGTTCCACTACCTACCATTAGTTTACAATTATTAAGTAACATGAGTTTGGATTTAGAGTCTCCTGTTATTAAGAAATATGTAATTTTGGTGTAAATATTAATTGAGATAGATCGTTTAACCCAACCTTAAAATAAATATAGCTTTGTATAAATAATAAGAAAGATTATACTTAAAATCTCTTATAATTATTTTCATTACCATTTGATTAAAATTATATCAACGGTTATAAAAAGACATAAAATAAAAACCATTGATTAGATTTTGATCGAACGGTAATAAAAATGAATGTAAGAGATTATAAAAGAAAAATAAAACTTTTCTCAGTTTAAAATTTTATTCATAAAAAGGTATATTTTATTTTTTAAATAAACCGAAATTTGAAACAATCTTTTCAATGTTACAGCTATCCCTATTCATACCAGAAAATTCTAAAATTAATCTTCAATAAGCAGAAACTTGAATTTCATCTTGCTCATTCTTAATAACCGTTTTTATTCCCTTCCCCTAAGAATGCAATAACCCCAACATAAGTCACAAGCTCAGGCATGCTTCATTAAGAATTTAAATTATTAAACATGCGTAATTTTTGTGTGGCTAAATTGCAATTTAACCCCCTGTACTTAGATCCTTATGCAAAAAACCACCCTTTACTTATAATTAAAACAATTAACCTAATTATACTATATAATTTAAACAAATAAACATATCTATTAAAGAGACATCCAATTTCGTTAAGTTTTGTGTGAAACACCAAAACACACTGTCATTTTCTACCCTCTCAAAATTGGTTCCTGCGCCGCCCTCCACTTTTAAAATACATATGACTTTTGTTGATGTGCATTGAGTTCTAAGAATTCCTTGAGCTTGTTGTAATGAATGCTTTCTTGGATAGTTTTGCTTTGCTAGTTCATCTAATTCAGCAACCATCTTCACTGCTGTATCTGGAAGGTTCATCTGAGTAAAAAATAAATAAATCTATGAGCAAGAAAGGTAATCTTGCAACATAAAGCCTATAAAAAGGCAACACTTGATTGCAATTTGGATGAAAGATAGCATGAAAAAGAAAACATGACAGTTGAAAAATCTGCAAAACTATATGCAGAATGAAACCATTTTAGTTCATAGAAGGTGGTGATATAATGAACTCACCTCTTCCTCGCTGGCAAGATCAAGTTTTTTCACAAGGTACTTTTGAATAAATGAGACGGGCACAGTACCATCCCTGTGATGAGGTCAGAAACAAAGAATTACACAATTATGATCTACAAATCCTTATCATGAAAAATGGAATATGTTCAAGAGAATTAGAAGAGAACAGAAAGAGGAAAGAAATGAGGGCAAGCAACATAGAAAGAAAGAGGCAGGAAAAATCAACACATTTCAAATGATTCATATGAAAGTTGAGTTCCCTTTTGCTAAATCTGTGATTCAGACAATGATCATCAATTTGATGTTTACTGAATCTATGATTATTCTCAGAAAATTGTTCCAAAATTAAGTTAAAAAAATATGGGAGATTGATGTGCACTATTAATTAGTTGCCTGAACATCATACTTTCTTAAATTGCAACATGGAAGTGTTTGTCTGAACATCTGTCAGTCTCATCTTTAAAAGCATAAACTTCCCCCCTTGCAATTCAATCCTCGACAGTTTATGAAATCATGAGATAACATATAAAAACAAAAACACTTTTTCTTTTATCTTATTATTGACCGTTAGCCAAATTTTGACACAACAAAATGAGAAAAAATATATTTGTTCGATTCACAGGCCAAATTTGTATTCACTTAATAGCAAAAACTTTAAAAAATAAAAATATAAACAAATCAGATAAACGGAAAGATAAGAAGAGTCAGAAGAAGTACTTTATTCTTAAGTAACAGGCTAAGATCTGTGGCGAAGGAACATCTCCTTTCTTGGATAATAGCATCAATTTCTTTAAGGTTCACATAAGATCAACACTTCATAATTAATAATATTTTCAGTTATAAAAAACTAAATTACTGGTCCTCTGAAGCAACTAATGAAAACCATATAAGATTGTTTTTTCCGATGGAGAGAAGAAAACAAAGAAGAGACGGGAAACGTGTTAGAAGAAGAAAATAATTTTTTATAAGGAAAGATGCTGAATGAAAATCATCATGTGAAGAGCGGTCACGAACATGTGCCAGAACTATAGAAGTAAACGACATGCGTTTTGGGGTTTCACAAGAAAGACTTAACGCTATTGGATGTTTTTTTTTACGGAGATGCGTAATTGTTTAAATTGTATAATATATTTAGGTTAATTGTTTTAATTAAAACTAAAGGGTGGTTTTCTGAACAAGGATCAAAGTTTAGAGTGTTAAATTGTAATTTAGCTTCTTCTTTTTTTAATGATACACACACATGTATATATATATATATATATATATATATATATATATATATATATATATATATATATAATGAAAAATTCCAACTCAGCCACCTATTTTTACAGGAGAAGGTAATGAGCTATTTGTTGCTTGAACAAATTAATACAAAGGCCCAAACTAATTTGATTCTCAGGCCCAAACAAAATTGCTCGCGTTTTGAAGGGAAAAAAAAAAAAATAAGTGTTTTATTTTTTTGAACTACATTTGCGATTCCAATAGTGAGAACTTGATTTTCCACTCCAGCGCTATTGAACTTGTTATGGTTGGAACAGAAGAGAAGTGAATTTTGGCTAAGACCTGAAACTGAGAGTATTGAAAGACGAAGCGAGGGTTTGTTGCGAATTGAGAGTGTTTAAGCTCAAACACAATGAGAGAAATTTGTAGAAACTTCCAGCGAGGCAGGTGATTCTTCTTCTTCTTTTTTCTTCTTAATTGCTTTAGTTCCAGTCTTAATTTTCAACTTTGGATAATTAGGGTATTGTTGTGTTTTTTGTGTGCCATTCCCATGCGCAATTATTTCTTTTGATTCTTCACTATTTGAAGTACTTAGTAAGCAAATTTTAGGTGAATGAAGACCAATGAGGTTATGGCTTTAGAAATGAAGAATTGGACTTTAGATTTTCAGCTATTAGTGAATATCAACAAAACATGTGCACTTCGATTGTATATTATCTACTACAGTTCGCCCTTTATGTTTCCCTGCAGTTCATCCTATCATCTATGTGATAAAAGATGCTATAGATCCTTAATATATATATATATATTTTTCTTAATCTGTTTACTGCATTAAAAAACTTTTTGAAATGCATTTTTAATTGCTGTCCTTCATATTTCAGCTGTCAATACGGAGAAAGGTGTAGATATCTTCATGTAAACCAACAACAGCAAAAATCTAATGTTAATGGGTTTGGAGGACCGAGCAGTTCTCACCAACAGCATAATACAAATCCCTTTGGATTTGGGACTCAAGCTGGCTCTGGCTCACACCAACAGCAGAATACCAATCCTTTTGGTTTTGGCGTGCAGAACAGCTCCCAATTGAATGGAACCCCTCGTTCTGAGTTCAAAACAAACCAATTCAAGGTTCTTACTCTTTTCATAAGCATCCCCCCCCCCCCCCCCCAAATTTTGTTGGATATTATAATAAATGATTATATCATTGAAGTTCTTTAATATTTTGAAGTATTTTTTTGAGAGTTATTGTTACAATCTCCGGTTTCATCTTAATTGTTAGCTAAATAATCTGATTATTTGCTGTTAGCATTGATGATTTACTTCTGAATCAGCCTTTTGAAAACAAATGGAATCGACATTCATCCAATCCCCAGAGTGGCGCCTCGCGTCAATCTGATAACCATTCCCAACCGGTAAATCATTCGTAAGTATTGATCAATCTTCCATCTCGCATCAAGCATGGACATTTTTCTTGATGTTATGTCAAGTCAACATTGGAAACGAGGGTGCACATAATGCCAACTGCATGTTGGACACCCTTTTACTTCATAATAAAAAACATAAAAAGCGCAGGCCTAAAAACATCTACAATATGCATAAACAGACAAGAGGTGCTTAGATGTGCCCAAATAAATTCTATATAGTCTTCGATTGGTATATTGAAGATACGAAATTTGATATCTTTCAGTTTTGTTGTATAAGCACTACCTTTGTTTTTAGTTGAAGTTTATGTTCCTTTACATTTTTTAATATATAATTTGTTAAACGAATGTCCATCTCATGTTACATTGTTTTTTAATTGAATAAACAAGCAAAAGAAAAATTTAGTGTCACTGTATTGTTTTCCTTGAGCTTTGTGGTTTCTTTAGGAGGATGCCTGACCACATCTAGTATTTTCCCTTTGCTATCTAATAATATTTCTTTTGTCTATATAAACAAAAAATAGTCTTATTATGATAATTTTGCATCCATGTTGCCTGTAAATGTTTGTGGTTTTGCTTTTTATAATGTTTGTGCTTCGCATTGGGTTTACTACTTTACTTCCTTAAGAGTTTAGTGATATACTTTGCTAAAGCTTGGTTGGTGTAATTGAAGATGCACAGATCCCGAGAACTGCAAGCGCCAGATTGCAGAAGATTTTCAGCAAGAGAAACCACTTTGGATTCTTACGTGCTACAGTCATTGCAAGGGGTATACTTCTTTTTAGACATAATGGCTTGAAAATATTAATCAAATTTGTTACTGAAATAATATGTTGCTTTATAATGGAGGAAGTTATTGCCCAGTAGTTAGTGCCTAATGCAGACAGCAGACCATGTTGAGAGAGATCAATATTCCTTAAAATCTGTGCCACTGAACTTTGTTACAAAAGATTGTCAACTATTTTTCTGTCCATCCTCCACATCGAATATGGAATCATGGATTAAACTAACCACTAATCATTATACATTTCCTCAAGCTATTATAAGCTCTTTTCCTTTGAAAATCCTCCCCAAAGCTGATGTCCAAAAGATGAAAGAGATTTTAATGGGGGCATCTTTTCATTTGCATTACAAAGCTTCAAGTGATACGACCACATCCATGATCTCTTTTTTTATTTAAATTCTGGCAATCAGCAGCCAAGACTTCTATAGTTACTTATGAGTTATGCCACTTCCCTGTCAGTTTACAGTTTGAGAAAAAAAAAAAAAAACCCCAAGTGACTGGTCCAATGTCCACTTAGAATACATCAGCTATTGAAGAAATAAATCTGAAAAATCACCTCAAGTATTTTGCCTTCCAAATGTTATACCTGAAACTGAAAGAGATCCTAGTGTACTTTTCTCTCTTGAAAGAAAAATTGCGTTAAAGAAACTTAACCAGTGTACTAATAAGAAAGCTAAGTGCCGTGATAGATTTTGACTTCTTTTTATGCAGGGCTCCTTGTGACATTGTTGGTGATATTAGCTATGAAGAATTGCGGACAGCAGCTTATGAGGATGCTAAGAAAGGGATGAGCTTGCAATCAATAGTAAGAAACCGGCTTTTTGACCACTATAGCCTTTTTTTAATAATTAATTACCAAATTGACCCTATTTATAAACTATTTCAAAAATTTAACCTCTCCAGAAAACATAACACCAATCTGCCCCTGTTTGACCGTTGACCATGAAGCCTACCCGGGTACACCCCTACCTACCCGGGTAAATTTTAAAAATTTTTACCTACCCGGGTACACCCCTCCCTACCCGGGTATATTTCTTGAATCTGGAAAATGTTTGAATTATTTACCCGGGTAGAGAGGGGTGTACCCGGGTAAATAATCATAACTCAAGCTTTTCTCTTCTTGCTTTTCTTCTTTGTTTCTGGTTTCTTTTTCAAACCTTGCAGAGTCATTTTAAGAATGGCCAATTTCTGAGCATCTGAGACAACCCTCTCCAACATCTTCCTCTTGCCATCTTCAGTTGTCTCTTTTACAGTTTTCCACAACTCAAGCTTGTCAACGCCCAATTCCTTCACCTCTAATTCTGAACATTTTTTTGAATTGTCTGACTGGTGACATGTAATAGCATCCTTTGTTGGAGCAGAACCTTGATTATTTGCTTCACTAATCTCAGGCATATGATCCAGTGGAATATCTTTCATCAATAACCTGTTTTCAGATTTTGTTCTCCATGCGTTAGTCCTTCAATTTAGAGATTTTCATTTGCTGTTCACACAAAGAGGATGGGCGCACACAACCAGTTTATGATTATTTACCCGGGTACACCCCTCCCTACCCGGGTAAATAATTCAAACATTTTCCAGATTCAAGAAATATACCCGGGTAGGGAGGGGTGTACCCGGGTAGGTAAAAAAATTTAAAATTTACCCGGGTAGGTAGGGGTGTACCCGGATAGGCTTCATGGTCAACGGTCAAACAGGGGCAGATTGGTGTTATGTTTTCTGGAGAGGTTAAATTTTTGAAATAGTTCATAAATAGGGTCAATTTGGTAATTAATTATTAAAAAAGGCTATAGTGGTCAAAAACCCGTAAGAAACCTGATCTAATATGCCTACAGTTTCAAGGGAATTCCCATTTATGTCTCCATTTCCCCCTCTTTTGTGGAGTATACCCTGTTCTCTACCTAGTTGTAATTACTTTCATTTTTTCCTAATATAATTTCATTTTCATTTATAGAAAAGCCTCCTTTACAATATTAGTACTGACGTTTCAAACTACAAGCTGACAGTTATGTTCATACAATTGTATTCTCTGTTTATCCTTTAAATATGTTGTTGTAGGTTGAGAAAGAGAGAAGTATACTAAAATCCAAGTTTGTTGAGTTTGAGAAACTGCTTTCTGAACCCTACCGACTACCACTGAATTCTTCTCTTGAGAGTCAGAAGCATCAATCTATTGGAGTCAATGCAAATCCATTTTCTACAACTACTCAAAATAATGGTCCTTTGTCAGTCTCAAGCTTTAGCCAACTGGGTGCTTCATTGAATATGGGTTCTGAAAGGTAATGACCTGCTGGGAAACATTTTCTCCATTTTAATTTCGGTGGCGTTCGAAATAACTTCAGTCAAGAAAAATCCAAAATTTAATTAACAGATAATGCAAAGAGCTCCCATGGAATATGGTTTGTACCTTATAATATATTGATGAGGCCTGATAGGTTGTCCTCTAGGTTTTTCAGGTGGTTAGATTGCACCTCTACTGGCATCCCTCTTTCTAGAACTCGATCCTACTATTTGTCTTTTTTAGGATTTATGGTGTGATTCTCGTGAGAATGGAGAAAGACATCAGAGCCTTAATTATTGTGGTCTAAGGTTACAGTTTTTTTATGCTTATATAGACTAGTTGGAGAGGTTGAACGTAGAGCAATGATAAAGCTACTGTTTTAAGACTGAAAGGTCATAATTTCAAATCCGCGAAACAACCTCTTTGCATATATAAGGGTAAAGCTGCGTATAAAGATAGCCTTCACCTCTACTCTCACTAGTTAGGGTTTAATGGGTTTTTCTCTTGAAAAATAGTTTACATAATAGTTGGATATCAGTTGCAAGTGCTGTAGAATGACCTGGGTCTTGAGAATTTGTGTCTGGAAACATTCCTATAATGGTGAAGTGGTTGCGATAGTTTCTGTTTGGAACTATGGACAATATGGTTAGTTTGTGTGCTAAAATGGACAAGATGCAGATCTGCAATCATTGCTTCCCTTGCAATAATTATGTCCTTCATCTTTTACTATTCTTTTCTCTTCTGATGATTTTTTTTTTATGCCTCTCTTGGCCTATGGTAATCTGTTTGGACTCTCTGTTTAGGCCCTCTGCACCACTAATGAACACTCTGGCGCAGCCTAGTTTCTTTGGAAGTGGAGGTATATATTTGGTGTAATTTGGGTAGCTCTATGGCTACATTTGTTTTCTGTTTTTCTTGACCATATATGTTTGACCATCAATGTTGTAATAAACACTAGGAAACTCTTTGCCATCCAACACAGCTAACCTAAGTGGCAGTGGCATCTCAGGTGCTCAAAGCAGCCCTTATTCTACACCAGTGGGGCTGACGGTCTTTCCTGGTTCAACTTCTCAGCAATCATCCATTGCCTTCAATGACTCTAGCTCCGCTATAATGTTTCAGACAACATCAGATGTTCAATTGTTGTAAGTCCATGGTCACATTCTTTTAAAGTTCTACAGAACTAATTGTCACAATTTAACTAATTTCTGTTCTCATTATTTATCCAAAAGTAGCTCTACTTTCTATTGTATTGCCTGGTTAGTTACAATGTTTCAGACCAGATAAGATTTAATTAATATGAAATAGATTGTAACCCAGCCAGTCAACCTTTAGAGTTCAGTTTGTTCCATCTTCAGTTTAGTTGTGCATTTTCAATTTTAAGCAAATCTCTTTATCTTCTTTAGGTATTCACTTTTGTGACAAAAGTCATATGATCCTGATCTAATTGTAAATTTTGAAATGATTATGATAGATTTTAGTGAATTAAGTCAAACTACTTAAGATTTCACCAGACAACATACCTTCTGTTATAGATATATATCAAGACATGAGCAGAAGTCTGAGTTCAACTGATGCGCTCTTGTTAAATTTCAAATGTAAGTTTTTGGGTTCAACGAAGTGTAAGAAACAAAAGAAAGGGAAGAGATGATAGGTGCAGCACACAATTGTGTCAGGAGGTTACTTAAACTCATTGGGCAATTAATAGCTCACGAAATCATTCTAATTTTCCTAGAAAGTAAAGGACCCAATTGCATCAATCATAAATGTTATGATGTGGATGAAGTTGGGTGCATCCCTTAAGGGATAAAATCTATTTTGCTAAGCCATCTGTTACAGTATAGATTAGAAAGATTTTAACGTTAGTAGTGATGCTTGAAGCAGTTGGTGGTTCTGTTTCCTTTGATTATTACTCAACAAAGCATCTGATTTATGTTGGTATTTGAATCTGCTTGGAAACTTCACCTTTGTTAATGCACCAACTTTCTGAGGTTATATCAATATAAGAATTTGAAAAAGTTTCAGCTTCATATGCAAGTTATAAATACTTATGATTGTATTGTATGGTCGTCTATTCATGCAGAAATAAGTCTCAAGTGGAGAATGAGTCCCCAGATGTCAGTATATGGTTAAAAGAGAAATGGAATCCTGGAGAGGTAAAGTCTATTGCTATGCTTTAACTGTTAATGTTGGGAAATTTTCATTTCCAAAACCAGGACAAAATTCCCCTTATGACCTATACGTAGTCAGTCATAGTTTGGATACAATCTGCATTAAGATCTTTGGTTATTGCATCATTTGCATGTGTTGAAATTACACAATTTTTCGGATAGTTAAAATTTGGCTGATTCAGATTTGCTTTTCGTTGATTATATTTTAAAATTCGAGTTTTGGGGATATCTTGAATCTTGATAAGTGCTTCGTGTGATATATGCCAACATTTTTTTGTTTGTTTCTTTTTATTTTTGTACTCTGTTTGACAGATTCCGGAAGAAGCTCCTCCAGATAGATTTGTTCGGTAGGCATTTGTGAGTTGGCATCTGAAACAGAGTTCTCAATACTGTGTTAGCAAGATTCAACAATGTGGTTAGGTGTATTTTAATAACTTTAGGGCCTTCCCTGGTTGAATTATAGAGATAAATAGCATATTAGATCACTTCGGTCCGGCAGTTATCTGGAAATTTTTATACCAATTGATGAAAGAAAATAACTGATGCAAAAGTAGGGTCGATTGCAGTTCTTACACTCTAATGAAATCTTTTATGGATTTGATGTTTATCATGTTGTAGGAGATAAAATTATCTCTTATATACACCTAAAAGTTTGTAGGACCATGTGAATAAAAGAGCGATAAAAAAAAGCATGAAACCCACATACATTTATATGCATAGAAGATAATTTTATCTCCTATAACATAAAGAGACATTAAACACATCTTTCAATGCCTCCTAAGAGCCAATATCACAAAGTAGTCACATGTGACTGCTGTAAATAACAACCTTACTGCACTATCGCGAATTCTTTTGATAGGGATTTGAATGCTCTTATTTATTTATTTGTTTTTTGTTTTCAAAAAACATGAGTGTCAATGTTACGAGAGAAAAAAAATGTAAATTGACTAGCCATTGTTCGCGCAGGAATAAGTCTTTTTCTTCTGTAACACGAAAAGAAAATCTAAATTTTTTTTTGGACAAATTCAAATCCAGTTGGTACAAGTTTCGGAAGTATGTGACCTTTTTTTAAATATTTTTTATTTTTTTGTTTTGGGAATATGTTAGTTGCTTTTATGTCATTAATTTGACGTAAATCTTGTGGATGAAAGTATAATATTTAAAGTTGAAATTACAATTTTGATTAATAAGATGTCTTGAATTTGTAAATATAAATAATGCAGTTACAAATTAAATTTAAAACTGAAAAAGAACGGAAGATCAAAACAGATTATTGATGGAAAACTAATATTTTTTTTCCGGTAATCACGGAAAATGTACTTTTAACTAGAGAAAAAAGTAACCAGAATTCATTAAAATAATCAATGATGATAGATTTCTAATTAATTTGAAAATTTCTCGGCATCTCTGTCTTTATTAGTCTTCCCGCATAATACGCAGAAAAACCAAAAAAGTTGTAGTGCCGATTGCAAGAACCCAATAGCGAAAAATAAGATGGGTACATGCTACCTTGTGAGTAGTGCCGATTTGTAAATATACAAGTCTAAAGTTTGGAAACCTCTGCTGAAAAAAAAAAAAAGAAAAAAACATTGGAAACCTCATTCCTGGTTTATTTATTGAAAAAAATGTTTCCTGCATATAAGTTATCTGCATTTATTCTCAAAACGACGTCGTTTTAGTATTGAAATCTTAAAAAATTATAAATATAAAGACAATTATAACCTTGAAATAAATTAAAATTACAAAAACACCATGATTTTTCGTCCCAAAACGACGTCGTATTGAACTTATTGCAGATAATTTATCTGCAGTAACTGCAGAAAAAACAAACCCTTATTTATTTTACTAAACCAAATGAGAAATGAGTGATGACAAAAATAGTCAAGAAAATACACGTCATTCCTATAATCTTTCCATATGAATGGGACCGTCTGTATTCCACTTTATATTATGCATAGATGTTTTGATAGAAGATAACAGTAATGCTGATGGAAGACAAGTAATTCAATTGCAAGCATAGCTATTTTTTTAAATTGAAAATATGTACAGGACCTCGAAACATATAAAACAAAGTAATACATTCATCTAATAAAAGAATTACAGAATTCAATGCAAAGTGCCACTTGATTAGACACTGGAAATATGATCAGCACCAACTATCGGATCCAATAGTGGACTTATCATGCTGAAACGTGAAAGATTCAGCTAATTTGAGTGCATCTGAAACTCTAAGCCTCGTTCCCTGTTGGCCAACAACAGTGGCTGCAACCTTAGCTGCCATAGTGCCCATACTTCTCAAATCTGATATGCCACTCAAAACACCATAAAGCATGCCAGACGCATATGCATCACCAGCACCACAAGTATCTACTGGAACGCATGGAGAAGGAGGGATATATATAGCTTCACCTTTTACACCTATGTATGAGCCTCTACGACCATCAGTAACGGATACTAGAGGAACAAAGTGACTCAGATACCTTGTAGTTAAATCTGAGCTTTCCTTTCCTTCAAAATTACAAAGAGCTCTGGCCTCATCATCGTTTGCAAAGACTATATCCGCATAATTCTCAACAATTTCCCTGATACATGAACAAATACAAGTTACTTATAAAAAAAAGATATATGTGTGTGATTTACACACCTGCAAATATCATTTTTATAGCAAGCATCTTATTATCATAACTTTTTAATCAATGTACTGATACACAGGTGAGTTAATTGAATTATTTGGTTCCTACTGGTTTGAAGATTTCCTTCCCTTTCAGTCCTTCACACATCCTGGTTAGCTCTTATGTTACCAGGTCTCAAATGAAACAATTGGAAGAGAAAAAGTTCTAATAACATAAAATTGTAAAAAAGAATTGTGTAAAATTAAAGAAATTCATTGAGAATCCTACTACCAATCATATTCATCATCATGCACATATTCAATATTGCTTCACATCGCATTTATGGGGTCTCCTAGAATACTATTTCCCATATTTTACAAAATTCACACATGCCAAAATTAGGGGATATGGTAGCTAGTTTCAGAACAAAGGATGTCGTTTTACAGCTTAAACAATTGAAAACTGAGCTGACAAATGGAAAATACAAGAAAAAAATTATGATGTTCAGCTTATTACACACTGTTACACTTTAGCCTAAGAAATTCATTATTATAGAATATGTCAATATGCTCATTATTACTGTCGATACCAGACGAAGGTTAATTGGATGGAAATAACATACAATTTGATGTGTGAAAATGGAATCATTTTGATATCAAGTGGAAATGAATGAACTACTATATTAAAAAAACCAAAGACAATTAACAATCTTACCAGAAATCATCGAAGTGTCTCTCAATGCAGGACACATCTGAAGCTGTTATTGCAATCAAGGCACCATTTCTCCGAGCTTCCTCACATGCTTTTGATATTGTTTTAATAGTATCAGGAAGTTCGAATAGATACCCTTCAACAACTAGTATGTTAGTCTTGGAAACTGCACTAGCCAATGATGTATCATAGTTAACAGTTGAAGATGTGCCCTGAAACCAGAATACAGAAATATTAGCATCTTCACCATTCATCGAACAGTAGCAAATAAACGTGAGCTCACAGAATTAGCCTTAATAAAGGTAAATGCAATGCCAAAAGTGCCTAAAATAGAATAAAAAGTGGGGGTAGATTGCGGCAGATACAGGTGAGGGAAAAAAAAAAAAAAAAAACTCCTCTACGAGATAAGTTTGACAACCATTACTTTGTATAAGAGAAAAGACACAACAGCATAATCAAATTCAAAATTCTGGGCAATAATTTATTGGAAGTGAAGTTCGGTTTATTTTCTGTTTTTATTTTCAGTTGGTATGTTTTTGCTAATAATTACAAAAAAATCACCTTGTTTTCACTTTGTTTCTTGTTTCTTGCTCTCAAGAATTTGGAAACGAAATTGAGAAATAATGTACACACTCACAGCATGATGAAACTTACATGTTCGTAAAGTTATAGTGTTTTCTTCAATATAAACAATTAAATATAAATTACACAATTCAGCTTCTGAACAGAATTTGAGCAACTCCTATGGTTGACTGATTCAAAACATCATTTAGATGTGTAAATGTGCTTCTGAGAAACAAAAGTGAATTACCGAAGCTAAGGGGAAGGGAAAAAAGAATAAACACCATATAAACTGTTATCAATATATCAACTTAGAAACATCTTGTCATAGAATCCTCAAATTGCAAAAAGGAAGTGGCAGTTATATATATCTCAGTATTCATCATTTGTAGCACACTGAACCTGATATGCAAGCATTGTGCGTTGGGCATCTGGGGTCGTGAGAACTATAACAGTTCCAGTCGTCCCATCCTTGAGAGGCGGAGAAAGAAATTGCACATTTGCTCGACGTAATTTTTCCCTTAAAAAAATTCAAATAAAATGTAAACAAGCAATATTAGTAGCTTCAGGAAATGTGACTTGCCCAAAACAAAAATGATGGAATCATTGAATAACACAGCAACCTATCTTCAGAGGACGTGTATGCAGCACAGTGGTGTTATGTGTGAGACTTTATAGATGGCTTCTGATTAAAAATTTGAATATTACTGATTTAACAGAATCTGATCTATACTTTTCCAAGCACTGTGGCAACAAAATGTAGATAATAGTAAATATAATATGTAATAAAATAACAGGATAGAGTCTACAAAAGAGTAAAAAGTATTTGATGGTTGTTTCCTTCTAAACACCCTTTTCCCCTCTTTTATTTTTTATGACCACCCAGGACGATCAAATATAGCAAAATCCAACCAAAGGAATGGTTCTGAGTTGTGGAAGAACAAAAGGCTAAACGGGCCATCTAGAACTGTGGTGAAACAAGATCAGACTTTGAACTTCAGGGTTATAATGCTAAACATTAGATAAAAAAGGGCGTGTAGATTGTTCCATCATCCATAATTGATGAGAGAAGGAAGCTCCAAATTAACTTCTTTCCTTAATTAAACTAAATCAGCCACAACTTAAGTAAGCATGAAAATTTGATGAAACAACCAATAAGAACAGTGCAAGCAATGAAGGAAAACCTGTAGAAGCCACCCAATAGATCACTCCCAACACTGCCAGCCATTGCAACATTTATGGAGGAAGCTCCAAGCCTTGCCAGAGCAACTAAGCTATTAGAAAGAGATCCACCAGCCGCAGCTTTATAGCTGCAGCCATCCATAGCCTGCAAAACTCTACCTCTTTCCTCATGGTTTACAAGTTTCCGTGTTCCCTTCTCCAATCCCAAATTCTTCAGGAACTCATCATCTACTGTGCCAGAGAAGTCTACCTAAAAGAAAATTCCCCAAAACAACACATTTAAGATTCATTGCTATTTCCAAAATGTATATATATTGCAACATGATGAAGGTATACATCCCTTCAGGCTTCAGCATAACTCAAGAGAAACTCATCAGAAAACAAGAATTGGGAGGATCCTAAAATGTTAACAGTTTCAAAGCAGGGGAACAAAAGAGAAAAACACAACTCTAATCTTACAAGGAAACAAAACAACACCAGGCACACATGCAACAATTCTTCAATGCATCAACTTCAACATCAACAATAACTTTATCCCAAACTAATTGAAGTCGGCAGCAGATAAACTCAAATACTAAAGAGTTGAAAAAATAAAAATAAAAAATAACATAGTAATAATATATATATATATATATATATATATATATAGAGAGAGAGAGAGAGAGAGAGAGAGAGAGTAACAATTCTTCAATGCATATATGAAAATTATTGGCAAGTCCATAGCTTTCACCACATATCCATGAGAAATGAAAAGGGAATTACCATGGCTTGACCAAGACCCAATACATCCCATCTTTCAGGAAAAACTACGGAGCTAATAGCCCCCTCCTCTTCTTCCTCTATTTGATCCTCATAACTAGCCTTCATTTGTTCATCATCATCTTCACTGCCACTGTCAAATTCATGGACTCCAAGGGTGGAAAAGGAACAGACTTTGAAAAGCCCACCTCGCATGGAAGAATCTCTGCGGCAAAAACCAAAGTGGGCATTTGGTAATTTGGAAGGAAGATGATAAAGGAAAGAAGGGTGAGGTTGGGAGAGTGGTGGAATTGGAAGGGAAAGAGAGGTTGAAAGGTGAGAAGGAGAAGACATACGAAGAAGAGACACAGAGACAGACATGTTACTAATGTAACTGTTGCTTTTGTGTCTCTCTTTTGTGTCTTAAGAGACACAGTAAAACTGTGCTCTGATTGTTGCGAATGTTGTGGCAACGTAGAATGCGCTCAGACAGCAGATAAGGAAGAAAGGTTGGGGGGGGGGGGGGGGGGGGGTACGCCTAAATTACTTATTTACCCTTGCAGGCTCAGGTTATGGACCCCACCTACGATGACTTGTACAAATTCTAGAAACTCTTACCTGAGACAGACGCAAACGTTTCGGCAATTTTAATAACAACTAATCTTTTTTATCAATACTTTATAGTCTATATTAATATTATTTTTGAGAGCACGTAATTGAATGGCGTGGACCAGCACGCGTCTTATATTTTTTCTCTCCTATAAATCCTTATTTCGCGTTGTCATAACCAATATTTTCCTAGTCCAAAAAAGAAATTTCATTGTTTCTTTATTTGAACCGGGGAACCGGGATATTGAATCTGTAACGAAAGAAATTTAAGCAAGGCATTTTCATAAACTGATTTTTTTTTTTTTTTTCAAGATATTAAAATTAATTAATTCTTTCGGGATAAGAGATCATAACAAAACTTTTTTATATACACGACTAAGGATCGAAACTGTCAATATACTTAAGGAACTCAATTATTTACTAACTTGCCGGAAATTCAATAAAAATATAGAATAGATATCAATTAGATTGAAAAAAATGTGAAAATTGAATATTTTTTTTATTGGATTGTATCACTTTTCGATTTGAAGTTTAGAAACTCATTCAATCCAAATAGAACTAAATCTACACACTTACTTATATATTTACTTTTTGAAATATTCATAAAAAATTATATAATATATATATATATATATATATTTATAAAAAGATAAAATCATTTCTGCAGCCGTTTTACGTACAGCAGCGACAAATGTATGGTTATTATTCTCCACATTTAATGCTTTAATCTTCTGTATGGTTATGATTATCTGCATTTAATGCTTTCAAGTATATATATGTCAAATATTTGATTGTTGCATGTACAACAGCTGCAAAAATATAAACACATTTGAGTTAAAAATATATTTAATTGAACTTAGAAGTAATCATAACTAGTTAGACTATAGATTTTCATTAATAAGAGTTAAGCAAGAATAAGATTGTAATGTTGTGTGGGGTTCTATTTTAATAGTACGAATTTAAAACTAGCTATATCTGTATTAGGTACATTGTAACTTATGGATGGATATTTGATACTTTGACTTAATTTTCGTTATATTTTAAAATTTATTTACTATCTCTTAAAAAAAACAAAAGTCGAAAATCCTTTCAATCCAAGTCACTTTATGATTTTTTTATAGATCAGATAGAAAATTTGGTTCCTAGTTTTCTCAAGGCATTGGTCCGATACAAGTGTCTTGATACTAAAGGACAAAAAAATATTTGCACCTTTTTTTCTTTTTCTTTTTTCTTTGACCAACATTCACAACTGATTCTGACGGATTATCCACTCCTAATCCTCAAAGGCTTACTATGGCATGTTAACTTTAATACAATAAATCCTTATCACAAAAAGCATAGCGACATAAAATATCAGGTAGCATACAACCAATTAATGTTTCAATTCAATTATTTAAAGGGAAAAATGTTTGTAATTTTAAATGACACAACTTATATTCTTTCACTCTCACAAAGAGATGGGACCCACACTTTTATATTTTTTTTGTCCATTCTCTCTCCACCTTTATCTATCTCTTTCTCTTACTTAAAATGATACAACTTCACATCTTTAAAATGATACACACTTTTTCTATTATTTAATTATAGATATTAAACATGTCAATTATATTATGCAAGATGAATGAACCCAATACCGAAATTGGAAATTCAGATACATGTGTCTTCATATGTCTCACTTACATAAGATGATTTTTGACCTTTACAATTTTATTTTGAAAAAAATATATATTATATCTACTTATTTTTGTATTTTTTTTTTCGATACTGCTCCATTACTATTGTAATTAATTTTATTCTTTTTCGCTTCTCTTGTTATTAATTAAGATTGTGATATGTCTATATGAAAATAGGGAAGTAAAATAGGCTTGAAAAAAAAGATAAATATAATATTTTATCTTTTTATTCTTTATTCTTTATTATTATTTTTTTATTTAATAAAGAAAAAAATTATTGAAAAATAAAAAGAGAGTAAGGCAGAAAACAAAGACAATAGATAATATATTATAGGAAAAAACTATTCTAAAGCTACGTGAGATAAATTTTTATTTTTTATTTTTTTAGATAGTGTAGCTCATGACATAAAATAATTTATCTTCTTTAAAACTCTATATTAATAAAACCCTATATTATACTCAAAGAAGAAAGGCATGAACAATCGTGTTTACTACAAAAAAAGGCATGGACAATGTTGTGTTTATGGACGGTCTTGTGCTGACGAGTGCTTACTTCAGCAGATGTCCTAAACATAAGCTACTACAGCTTCAATTGCCACTCTGTCTTTTTTTTTTTTTTTTTTTTAAACTGCCATTCTGTCCTTTTGGTGTATTTCAATGGCACAAGGAAGTGAAAGAAAGGGATTAGTCTCGTAGCCGGCTCAAAGAGTCGAAGCTCGTGGGGATACCAGAGGAAGCCAACTCGTCTCAAAGAGGTAATTAGGGTTGGGTAACTCCAAAAAAAAAAAAAAAAAAAAGTGAAAGAAAGAACTCAATTTTATCGATTAAAACTACAACTCGGAGTACAATTCAGATAACGTACACTCTTGACCAAAGATTTTACATATTTCCCAGAGAGAGATAACTAGAGAGCACATCCGTTGACAATAAAAAGTAGGGTTTGATACGATAGAAATAAAATTACTTTTTTTATACGAAAAAAATATTTATCGTTTTAAATAACATAAAATTATGTCATTTTGAGAGACAAATAGACATAACTTTTTTTATTTAAAATTTAAATTAAAAAAAAAATCACCTATTTTCTTCCCATAATTTTTGATGTATTACTATTTACTGCGACAGAGTACAAAAAGATTTTAGGGACATTCAACCATTCAATGGATTTTCTCTCTTTGTCTTTAATTTTTAATTTTTGATTTTTATTTTTATTTTTGTTCTCGTATAGGGTGGCATGGCCTGAATGGAATGGAATGTTTATTTTGAGTGAGATAATGAAATGGTTATTGATACGAGGACAAGAAATGATCTGGGGAGGGACACGGAGGACACAACACGAACATTTTCCTCTGTGAATGAATCAGACATTAACCTTTTTATTTTTGTCTCCCTAAATTGTTTGACCTACGACCTCTTTTAGGGTTCTTCACAAACCCTAAAATTGGAATTGACAGGAACGTACATTCTCATTCTACGTTATTTTACTATCAGAACACGCACCACAGTCTGATCTCAACTTCAACTGGGGCAATTCAATTCAATTCAATTCAATTCAATTGTTGAAAGATAACCATGACTTATTACTAGCTTATTGAGATTCGGGAATTTTCCCCTTGGTTCATCAAAAACAGAGGAATTGGAAGAAAATTAAAAAAAGAGATGTACCTGAAGAAGCCGTTGTGGAGTGAAGGGATCGAAATAGGGAAAGGGGATTCAGATGCAAAGGCACTGGATTATGGTGGTGGAGTGGGTGAGCTCGTGAACTCACTGCACCAGCAGAGAGTATACAGAGAAGTTACTCTTGCTCTCAGAACAGGTCTCAGAGATGCGCGTGCTGAGTTTTCATTTCTCCGTGTCCGTGCTCTTCGTTCCATTCTCAAGTTTCTTCGATCCGTTGCTGAGTCTGACTCAACTATTAACCTCTTTAACCAAACTCAATCTATTCCTCAACTTCAAGGTGTGTTTTTTCATTCATTGTTTTGCCTTAGCCCCCACCTTTTTTTTTATTCAATCTGTTTTGTTGACTTTTTATGTGGTTCTGTTTACAGTGGTTCCGGTTCTCTTTCAGCACTCGCTAAAAGAGACAGTGGATGATTATGGTGACAATAGGGTAGGAGATTTGAGTCATATATTTGGGGTGGAACCAATTAAGTTAACTAGTCCATCAACGGATGCTGAAGTTGCGCTTGCACTCAGAGTCTTGGAAGGATGTTGTTTGCTTCATCCACAGAGTACAGCTTTGGCCCATCAACACAATGCTATTCGGGTAACCTTCATTTTTAAAAAAATAAAAAATATCGTGTAGCTTTTCATTCCCCTTCAATGAGAAAGAAAAAGATTTGGAAGCATGTTTTTCCATTTGCTTATTGCATCTATGACTATCTTGTGTGACTGACTGACTACAAATGTTTGTAGTCCAGGATTCTTTTCACTGTGCTTTCTGTTGTTTTTTGGGGTTACAAGCAGTGTGTGGTCATCTGTCATTTTTCTTCATTCAGTTGGATATTCTAACATGTCAATCTGTATAAGCTACTTATTGAGAATTTTAGGAACTTTCTATCTTCCGAACATCTGGTTTTCTTCTTGGATTTATTGCTAGACAATAGGCTGATTATGATGATAAAGTAACCATTCCATAAAAGCTTCATGCTGAGGCTTCTCCCTCCCAATTTTTTTTTTTTTTTTTAATAAAATAATAACTTCTATTGAAAAAAGAGATATACCTCAAAGATAGAATTTAAGATATCCTCCTCGGAGATCAAAGGCACAAACAATCTGAAAAGGAAACACCCAAATTCATAATGCAAACCCCTCCAATTACTTGTTTTCTAATTTCAAAATTTATAGTTCTCTTAGTTTTTTAGCTATGGCTGAAGTTGATTATGATGATATGTGACTTTTCCATGTATGATTTATAGTTGTATACTATATAGCATATTTGGTTCTCATATTTATTAAAGAAAAAATTTATTGAAAAGAGAGAAAGGCAGAAAACAAAGATGGCAAATTATATGTTCTCCTCGAAGAACTAAGGCATAAACGATCTGAAAAGAGAACACCCAAATCTATACTGTAACCCCCCCTCTCTTCCTTTCGGTGCTTATGGACGGTCTTGTGCTGATTAACTCTTACTTCAGCACATAACATAAACATAAGCTACAACTACTATTGCCATTGCCACAATGACTTTTGGTGTATTTCAATGGCTTTATGGGAAAAACACTTATATTGTGGCAAACATTGTAATTTCTACTTAAATCCTAACCGTCCTTCAATAAAAAAAAGAACAATAAACCCCTCCTATTTCCTTGCACAATCAACAAGGAGGCCCCCTAATACTGTGTAGAAGTGGAGTGCCAAATAAGCCATAAAAACAACTCTTGTTCATGTCAAAGGAAAATAAAGAAGTTTATCCTTAAATATCAGCATTGCACTCCAATCATATACAACAATAGCAGCATAAATAGCATACCTGCATAAGGTGATCCCCCTCCCTCCTATCAAAGCCTGTAAACTTAAAGAAAGAAACTGTTAGATACTGACTTGTTTATGAAACATGTGCACCTACCTTTTGCAGATTTTAATGAATATATTATCCACTCGCGGAGTACTTGAGCAAGGTGCATGCTTAGATGCTCTAATCTCTTTGATGGTGAATTCGTCATCCAATCAAATGGTACCCTGACTCTTGCCTTTACATTATTTGCGTATGTCTTTCATTATTCTATCATTCTAGTTTTAACATCCAGTTTCTTGTTTCTTCCATTTATGGTTTAAGAATTGAGTTCATTGTTCCTTCAATGTTCGTGTTTCAATAAGGCAAAGTTGCAAAATAGTTTGCCTGCTACCATTTACCATTACTAATAAAAGGAAAAGAGTTTTGCTGCCAAGAGTTTGGTTCTTTTTCGTTTAATGAAGCTTAGATATATATGGTCTTGGCCTGGCTGATATGATTTACCAATTGATGTTCCTCTCATTCTTTGCTGAGAGTTTATCTGAGGTTTGCTGCTAAAGAACATTTTCTTGGTCAGTTATTATTATTATTATTATTTTGAATTTCTCTCTCTTTTGATAATTGTTTATCAGGACTTTGAGAAATGCAATGGTATCATGGAAGTTGCCGACCTTCTAAGAGACAAACAAGTGGATGAAAATCTCAGGTACTGCTTCTTGTTACAGCCAGTCTCATTCATTTCATTGCTCATATACTTGTCTGATGACTGATACAGATCTTCGATTAGTCTATAGGTGCTCTATTCTTGCATGTTGTGTTTTGTTAGTGCTGTAGCAATATATTAGCTTACCTTCTCATTTCTGCAAGATATTATGTAGAGACTTGTTCTATGATATTAGTTTGCTTTAAACGTTGAGCATTTATCTTATTTTGTTTCTGAAACATAAACAATATGTGAGTGGGTTATGACATGTCAAAGACTGTTGGAGTAGACCAGTTAGAATTCCTTTTATTTTTTATTTTTTATTTTTTATTTTAATCCTGTCATTTACCGCACTTGTGAATTTTTCTTCTCTCTAAGAATGAGGTGAAGAAAACAAGGCTGTCACATAGAAGAGATGGATGGAGAAATTGGTAAGTAAAATTTCTGGCCTTTGACTCCATCAAAAACCTTGGTCAAAAAAGGACATTTCCTACGCACCGGATTCTCCTTTTATCTCCCAAAACCTCAAATTTGGGTAGCAAACAATAATTTAAAATCAGGCGGACAAATTCAGTGTTCTGAAAACAGCGCAAATATCTTACTCAAAACTGCCAAGCTACCTCACAAAGAAAAAAGATGAATATTGGTTACAGAGCATTTAGGACACATCAGAGAAATGACATGGAAAGGGCCTTATGAGGTCTCCGCACATGTAACAAGTCATTGGTGTTAATCCTATTAAGTACAGCAGTCCAAACAAAAGCCCTTGCCTTAGTAGGAGGCTTTAACTTTCCAAAACAGAAACTTTGGGAGAAGGGTTGCCTAAGAAATTGGGAAAAGCATGTACTGGTGAAAAAACCTAGGGATCTAAAGTCCAGGTGCAGGCATGTCGTGAATGCCAAACAAAGATGTCATCCCATGCCCAAATTAGAGGTAATTTTTTTTTTTTGGGTTTCCCAACCTGTTGATCTATTACTGACTAGTTTGGTTCGAGCAGTGTTGGACCTATATTGTAGTTTATGTAAGGATTTTTTATGAGTTGGAATGCACTGTAAATTTGTAAACCACTAAGTTTGTTTTGGCATATTTCTGCCATAGAAAAAGATGAAAAATTGTACCGTGAATAACAAACATTGTATATATTTTTTAATCAGAATTTTTATTCTTAAGTATTTTGTTTGTCATGTGGTGGCTCTGCAGTCTTTAGAAAACGCAATTATAATAATTAAATGTTATTTATCAGGTTAAAATGTGGAGAGTTTTTGTTGCTGCTCATTGGACATGTGAGTGGAAGAGATACGCCACCTTTGGCAACTATACACGAAGATACAAGGCGTCTACTTGGGGAGAAATCAGCCTCATTGATATGGGCAGCCAGTCATTTTGGCTCAACACTGGATCCAGACCAGAGACTAACAGCTCTCCAAATCCAGGCTCGCAGGGTCCTTGAATCATTGGACTTATACTGAGTGTTGAGGATAATACCTGCATTTTTAGTAAATCGTCATCTTTTGATTTGAACATATTGGCAGAGAATGTGCTCCTTTTCGTTTTCAATTTTTTTTAAATTAATGTATGTATTCATTTCCTAGCTATCAGTTGTTTTTGCATCTGGTTAAGATATATATATATATTTTTTAAGTTGTATGATTTTATTCTACAGCAACTACTGATGAAGTAAAAATGTATCAGAATTCTACTGTATTAATATGTTCTGTACTTTCTTTCCAGAACAAAATTTTATACATGTTATTTTTACTGTGGTTATTACCCACCTGACCGGCAGCGCAAGCATCTCGGTTACTGTATCCTGAATCAGTATACACTCTGTGTTCTCCAAATCTGAAATCCCCTTATGTTATATTATATCATATGTATGTAATTTTTTTACATAAAATTGTATCATTTATTGTGACCAATATAGTACAATTATAAAAAAAAAAAAACAAAACGATTAATTGAATTGTACATATTTGGTCCTACTGAATAATCTTTAGTGTTATAGTGTTATTATGATCTTTTGGAATGGTCTTTGATGAATCCACATTAAAATTTATAACAACAAATATGTAAATTTGAGAACGCATTTTTGTTTATTAGAAATGCTATAAAAAATAACAACCACCCATTGCGTGTAGCTTACTTAGCAATAATAAATAAGATGAGAATTTGAGTTCGATTCTCATAAAATGCAGCAAGGTTGGTATAAAAAAATAAATACCTGAAATGTATTTTACATGAGTTGTGTCAAATGCCTAAACTGGTTCATATGTTTTATATTTGGAGGAAAAGGAGGGATATGATATTGTTATTATCCAATAATATTATTATTAATGTTATTATCATATCTTAAATTAAAATTTGATAATAACATTATTTAATAATAATAACATCTTGTGTGTTTAGGTAAATGCTCCAAAAATATAAGTTGTGGGTATATTTGCTGGGATGAAAAATTGAACAAAACAGGAACAGAACGGTGGGTTGAGTCTCGATCGATCATTAGCATTTCTTCTTCGTTTTTGTCTTCGTGTTCTCCTACCCTTTTTCACCATGAACTCTCTCCTCGTAAGCACGCATGCTTCTTCATTCCGTGCCTTCCCACACAATTTCACAACAAAAAGTTCCACTCTTTTGCTCAGACTCAGACAACCCTCTAAATTAAAGTCACCCTACTTCATTGCATGTTACTCTTCCCCTTCTTCTGGGTCTTCATCAAAAGGATCGAACCCTTCAGATGAAGTGATTCTTCAGAACGAGAGCTTTCATACTGAAGTGGGAAGCCCCAAAGTTCCTTCATTTATTTCTCCTATGTCCAAGTTTAGCTTGAGTGATCAAGCTTTCTTTCTCCTCGCATTCATTGCCTGCACGGTATGACCCTTAATTATTATTATTATTATTATTATTATTATTGGGACTAGTTGTTGATTGATTTTGGTTAGTACACTACTTTGTTCTGTTATGCATAAATAAGTACTTTTGTTTTTTGCAATCACCCTCTCCTCTCTTTTGTGTTTTGTATTCAGCATTTCTTATGATTTATGACCTAACTATTGGATTAATCATGAATTCAAATGAAAACTTGGCTATGAATTTGCGTATCAGACCACAAGGGACAATTTTTGTATAGTGATGCATCTTTTATTATTTCTTGCTCTAATAATCACTGTTGCGTGTTGTCTATTCACACTTTTTTTACCTTCCTTTTGAGGTTATCATTATTATAAATCTTCTTATAAATTAAACCCTTAATTTAAGATTCTTAATGTTACATTAACTAAAAGTTTCTTAACCATGATCTTTTTTTTTGCAAGTTCCTTGAATTTCTTCTTAAGATTTGAATTAAATTTGTTTGTAGCTCATAAAAGATCTATTGATTATCGATTCTGCAGACTTCGGTGGCATTCACTAGCCTTGTTTTTGCTGCTGTTCCTACCCTATTTGTAAGTTGTCTATCACAATGCTTATATTTAGATGATCACATATAAGCTTATATGTCATATAATTCTAGCACGTTGCATTTGCTTCCTTTTGATTCTGTAAAGCCTAATGCTATATCGGAATTTCATTGTTTAAATTTTAAATTAAGATCTGAGAGTTCCCCTTTTTTTTTGCATCTTTTATAAATATGCACTAATCCTTAAACCGTACCCATTGTGGAATTCCTGCACACAAACTGCCAAAATTTGAACTCACGTGTGTGGTGTGAAGCATATGAATTTATAGTAAGTCATTTGTCTTTAATCTTATTTAGCACAGCTGTCCAAACAAAAGATCTGCTCTTAGAAGGAGCTTTGTAAATAGCCAAGGAGGAACCTTTAGTTGTAAGCTGTTTGGTTAGTGAGTTAAGCACTGAAAAAGGAATTGGAATCTGCATTTGAGATCTCTTCGACCAGAAAGAATGCTAGGCTCAGTCATATTCCAATTTGGATAATCTATACCTCCCCTTTTTCCGACATATATTCCAATTGATGAATCTTTATGCCTGCGAAACCCCAAATGTCTTGTATGTAGTGTACATTGATATTCTGTTTTGTCCATTTTATTTTTGGAGTAAGATCTTCACCTTCGGTTTGATTCTATACGAATCTGACTTGGCTATATGCCTATACCTATACCTTTCTGCAACAAATTTGTAATTTCTTGGTTGTGCTTCATTTTTCTTTTCTTTTTTCTTTTTTAAAAAAGAAATTCCCTGTATGTTTTTTGGGTCTGGCCATACCATATGTCATTCCTAATATTTTTGGATAATTGTTAAACATGAACAGACTCTAAATACAAATATATACTTTTCCGTATACTCCTTAGGCAATGAGAAATGCTGCAACATCACTTTCAAAGCTAGCAGATACAGCTCGTGAGGAACTGCCGAGCACCATGGCTGCTATCAGGCTTTCGGGGATGGAAATAAGTGATCTGACACTAGAACTAAGTGATTTAAGGTGACAATGAATACCTTGCTTTCAATTATTGTTGCTGTATTTCTTTTCTTATAGTACTTTTTTTCCGAAATGTTGCTTATTTTTTTGAGATTGTTAGCTTACATAGTTATTTTGTTTTGTACTACTTATCTGTACTGCTTCACTCTACAGTTCTAACAAGCTGTACTCAACTCATTCTTACAGTACCAATACAACAGAAATGGAAGAGACATTATATTTATATGTTTATCAAAATGGTTTCCCTGTTATTCTAGTTTTCTACTTGGTACGGTTGGTGGGGGGTTAAAAACTCATTCTCAGAGTATAAACTGACCGTATAGTTTGCTTTGACAATGCATTGGTCCTTAGTGCTTCATATTTCTAGCCATAAAAAGCTTGTGCATTGTAATAAAGTATGGACCAAGGGGCTTCAATGCTGTTGTTGAATTGAAGAATTTTATAAGATTGTTTCTTATACAATTGCCTTGAAACAGCTAGACATGGATATATGCACTTACATTTGCAGGATTTGAATCCTTAAGGAAGACTTTGTCTTCTCACTCTCTTTCTTCTTGTTGCCACACCCAAGACTTAGATTGATGAGTTCTTTATATGATTAGTTTCCACTCTGAAGTTGAGATAGTCTGGGAGACATCCTTGCCGGCCCTTCTATTCCAGCATGGAAGATATGTTTTGGTTGTTTACCCAGTGCTTTATTTAGTATGCATGTGACAAGTGTTGACATGCACTTTTCAACCTGATACAACGGTATACAATTTTGAAGTCTATTAACTATTATAACAAAGAAATGCTTGGAAGTGAACTTTGAATTTTTAAACATTTGGTAACTTCTAATTATAAAAAGTAGATGCCTTTTTATCAGGAATTATTTTTCAAAGTAGTAGCTTTAACCACATGGATTCACTCACCTCTAGTCGGGGTTTCATGGCCAGTTGTTTTTAGCTTTAACCTCATTGCATATCTGGATCTAAAATCATTTGTTGCTTGGCAATTAGCCAGGAAATAGCAGATGGAGTCAACAAGTCAGCTCAAGCTTTGCAAGCAGCAGAAGCTGGAATCCGACAGATTGGTTCAATGGCACAACAACAAACCATATGTATGTATAATGTGTTTGCTGAGATTCTTTTATTGTTTCTTTTGTATTTCCCCCCCACTTAATCTTATTCTTCATTTTTATGATTGATTTTAACTACAACGTTTAGCAGCTCTTTATTTATCTACACAATCATCTACAAAGAAATAAAAAAAGGGGTAGGTAAAGACTCAAGAATTATTCAATTTCCTCCTTTAGTCAGTGGGTTGGAAGGTCGTGTATTCATTTTTCGGATGAGGATTTTCTGTAAGTACTAAACTATTATCAATTGAAGAAAATATGAAAATCATATATATCTAATCTAAATTGTTCAATCAGTAACTACGTAAATCTTCATTTATCCTGTTCCTGGTATGAACATGTTGAAAAATTCATATAATTATGTTTTGCTTATTTTCATCTTCATATACTGAGCATTGAATTACTAAGGAGTTAATTTTATTTTTAAGCAAGAAAAAGATATGCTGTACTGGAGCCTTGGTTGAATATGGATAGAGTTACATGGGGCAACATAATATCTTTGCAACCTTTATACTCTTTCCTTTATATTTGGTCTGATTATAATTTTGATTGGATACAGCCATGATTCAAGAGAGGGCAAGTTTGCCCATAATATCTTTGCAACCTGTTGTTGCTGGAGCTGCAAGAAAGACTTCTAGAGCAGTTGGCCTAGCCACGAAGAGCTTATTGAACATCATTTCTGGAAGGGAAGGCACCGCAGAATATGATGACGACAGAACTAGCATCTGAGAAATCTCACAGTTCAATTCAAACCATTCAACTGTGTGCATATACCATTATTTGCTCACCACCCAAATATAGTGTAGGAGAATACTGTAAATTGAACCGAAAATTATGTCAAAATTTGAATATTTTCTATCATAATGTATAGGGATGACCTTATTACGTGGCTTAATACTCTCAGAATTGTTACATAGACGTCCAATGTTAGGCTATTAATCCTTGGTATGGTAGTTAAAATCTCGATTTATCGTTACGTTTTTACGATTTTTTTTATCAAACTGATTTTATAAATATTCAAAACGCCTTTATGATTTTTTACGATTTTTTTACGTTATGTTTTTACAATTTTGTATTCTCCTAAAGTATCAATTTTGTATTCTCCAAACTTATTTTTGTGAAGCATCTTATGCAGTTTGATCCCCAGTGGCAGAGCCAGATTGTTTTTGAGGGGTTAAATTATATATTTTAAAATTCATTAGTTAAAAAAATTATATGATTGAATAAAAATACTCATAATATACTAATCACAATACAATTTAATAAAATATATATAAAAATATTCAAATTAATTAAATTAATTACAAAATAAAATTAATTTTATTTATTATACAGTGATATTGATATTTAAATAGACATCAAATATATTTGAGGTTGATTAAAAAATAAAATAAATATTATTATATTAAAATTTATTTTATATCTAATTTTTCAATTTTAATTTTATTCTTCATATCTTATTCATTTATTACATTTTGATATATCAAATTTATTTTAGATTGGTTAGAAAAATAAAATTAATTTTTCATGTTTAAATTAATTTTTAATTCAGTTTTTAAATTTTAATTCATTTTTTTTTATAGTTAAGTCAACTTTATCGCATACCAAAAAAAAAAGTCAACTTTATCATTTTTAAATTTATTTTCTAGAGTAAATACATTTTTTTTGTCCCTAACAAAAAATACGGTCCCCACTTTAGTTCTTTACAAAAATAAATTAGTCTCGAGGTCCCTAACAAATTCAAAGTGAACTCGTTTAGTTGAAATTGTGATCCCTCACAAATTCAAAAAAGATCCATATTAATTCTTCAAAAGGACTAAAATGGATCCACTTTGAATTAGTTAGGGAGTAAATGATTAATTTATTTTTGTAAAAAATTAGAATGGGTACCGTAATTTTTTGTCAGGTATTTACTCTATTTTCTATTTAAGATTGGATTTTGAATATTGTCGAAGTGAATAAGAAGTGCTTGGGCGAAAATCAAAGAGAGTTTCGATGGAGAAGAGGGAGAAGGAATCAGAATCAAAGGTACTATGCAAGCGGTGCAAGCAAACATATAACCCAGCTTCTAATACTTCAAGATCTTGCCGTTTTCATACTTCCTTCTTCGTATGTCGCCGTCACGATGACCAAAAGAGGTGCGTTACTCGTTACCCTCTTTCCATCGATTCCCTTTTTTTTTTTTTTCTTTTTTTCTTTTTTTGGGTTTACATGGCGCTGTCTGTTTAGATCTTTGAACTCGTTTTGCTTAAATCTTAAATCAGGCAAATCATAATATGCCTATGTTATGCTTGGAAAACTCTATTATTGGAAGATGATGTATATGTGTTTATTACACAATTAAAATAGCATTAGTAAACAACTATGGACATATAAAATACTATAGAAAATTAGTTTTAATCTTAAGATGCACTTTATTTAACTTCACAACACTCATTTGTTTTAATCTTAAGATATTCAAAACTACCAAGGCTTTAACATATCATTTAGCTCTATGAAACTAAAAATCACTACATTCTCCACCCCCACCCCCTTTTCTCCTTATAGTTGATACTGAATTTCCTTTCTTGATTATTTTTAACATGGTCACTTTGCTGTATTTGTTATCTATCGGTCTTAACCAATTTTCTGACATAAAGGAAATTTTTTGCTATGAAATCGCCATACCCTAACTAAATCTTGCATCAAGTTTGTTGTTCGAGTTCCAGGTGATTAAGGTGTTTCTTCATTTGTCAAAATCTGTGATCTCCATAAATTTTCCAATTATAGCCTAAAAAAAATCAGTCAAAGCATGATATGCCAATGTTATGCATGGAAAACTACTATATTGGAGGATGTTTATGTGTATATTATATAGTTAATGTAACATGAATAAGGAACCATACATAGACATAGTTTAAGTGTTTATTATTCTGCTAAAGGGATAGACAGTCTGCTAGCTACTATCCTAGGAATAAAATAAAATTTTGAGGTGACCAGTTCGTAAGGATAGCTTCAACTTATGAGGTGTAAGTCAGGCTGGTGACCTGGAAACTTCTCTCTGTTTTTTTTTTTTGAAGTTAAATTTTGAGTTCGAATCATCTATCTATTTCCATATTCTCTCATTTCTTCTTTGTTAATTATGAAGGTACTATGAATTGGGTCCAAACGATCCTCCGTATGCTGCCAAGTTCTACGACTGCTGTGGGGCTGAGGACCCTGAGGCGTCTGGCTGCACCACCAATTTTCATGTCTCTTATGATGAAGACTAATGTAATATCTCACCCCCATAACTTGGTATTGGACCCTCTACTACCATACTAGTCTCGTTTTCACCGCTGTGTATGATTTCCTTGTTCTTTCACTATACTTTGTTATGCACAAACTGAAAATTTGATGATCATGGTTGTCTATATATAGAGAGAGAGAGATAGAGATCTATATGTGCAGTTTTGTTGAAATTATAGAGAGATTTAGGTATAGAAGGAGGAAGGATGGAGCTAATAACAGAGAGAATCATTGTATATTGATCTGATACAAAATACAAAAGACTCCTCCTCATTTACACTAATCTTTATTTACACAAAATAGGGTACCCTAAAATATGGACATGGTTCTTTTGTTATTATTCTCCAAAGGGGATAGGCACCCTGCTGCCTATATTTTCAGGAATATGATTTGTGTCATGCCATGATTTTTGTGACCATTTTTTTGGCTTGTTTGATTGTCAGTTATAAATGGAAAGTCATTTGCCCAAAACAGAGACAATGAGCATTGACCACGGGATATATTTTTAGTGCTATTGCAATGCATACTACATGTCATGTGTTGTAATTTAAGTGGGTAAAGAATGTAATAGAGGAGGAATAAAAATTTATCCTTGGCCACTACATGTTTTGTTTCTCTTTTTTAACTTCTCCATTCCTTTTTAAAATCTGGAACTAAGAAGATGCACCTTACCAGTTCACTCCTAATATTTCGTTTTAGGCTTTTACTACTAAAGATGCACTTTTTTTAACTTCACATCACTCGTTTGTTTTAATCTTTAAGTGGTTCTCCCACACCATTTGGTTGAGAGATTAATCCTCACTTGGGGTAGGACAACTATACCTTTCCATAGGCTCGAACTCCTGACATTGAAAGAGACCCTCAACGACTGAGCTCAAGGTTGCTTATTACTTGAACTGTCTTGTGGGTCTCTTCACTCATTGGTAGATGACTCACATAAAATATAAAAAAGAAGCAGCATGGTTTCACCATTTAGTTTACACTAAGTTGGAAAATAAATCATAACTTGCACGACTTGTCACCCTTATTTTGGTTAGAAAGTATCATTTTGCTTCTGATAATGGCATATCGATGCTGTGGAGGAATCTCGAGATTGTCTATATACGCAATCTGAATCATAGACGAAAACGCAATCTTAAAAAACAATATTAATCGCACACGCATCAACATCAACATCAACAATACCTTTATCCCAAATTAATTGGGGTCGGTGGTAGATGAACCCACATGAAAGATACAAAACGGTTGAAAAAAAGTAACAAAAAAAATAAAAAATAAATAAATTAATAAATAAATAAAAATACACAAATAAAATAATAAAATAAAATAAAATAAAATAAAAATATATGTATATATAAATAAATAAAAGTAAAAATCTGTGTATATTTTTGTGGCAAACTGGCAATATCTTTTTCCTTATTAGATAATTAACCTAGCTACTGTGGAGCTTTTTCGTTTAATCTCACGGTTGCCCTGTTCTTTATTAAGTACTCAACTAATTAACTCAAGAAAAAAAATCTACTATTCTGTTCTATAGGAAGAGAATTAGGGGAAAATTGTGAAATATAAGAAAATTGGACCCGCTAGACCTTGATAAGTTGATTGGACTCTCTCGAGCGACACTAAACTTTCTTCCAGGCAAGATTTTTTGCACGCATTTTAGCAAAATGACCCGACAAATAAGCCTTCCTCTCTTCTTTTCGCTAGGCTATAGCAACACACAGAGGCTTTTGTCCAATAAACTTGTGACTCATTTCTTTTAAAGCTTTACTTGCTTACTCCGGAGTAGAAAATGCCACAAAACCATATCCATTGCTATGCCCATATGCATCTAGCATCACCTTACAAGATGTTATAGTTCCAAACTCATAAAATACTTCTCTCAGCTTTTCATCATCTACGTTATCATCAAGAAATTTAAGTACAAATTAGTTCCTTGTAATTTTTCATATGTGCTAATTTTGGTTTTCAACTCAGTCTCTCTTACCGCTTTCCTTTGAGCTCTCCCCACAAATAAAACCTTGTTATCTGTGACAGTAGTTCCATTTAACATCTCAACTGCTGCTGAATCTGGACTTTGGAAATTTACAAAACCAAAAAACCTAGATTTCTCATTCACATCCTTCATTATAGTTGCACTAGTTATGGTACATAAGGGCCAAATAATTTTTTCAGATCCTCATCAGTATATGTTTCCGGGAAATTTTTCACATATACATTAGTGAAAGTGAAATTTGGTAATCCATTTGCCCGAGATCTTTCCTCTGGCCAAACAATAAGTGGAACATAAACTTGAGTCATTGCCTGTCAAAATGGAACGTTAGGTGTATTACTAAAAAAATTGCAGTTATAAATGAATTCAGTAGGGACATATGCATACGCCTACTCGATAACTAGAACTGGAAAAAAGAATGAATATTTATATAATAGTCAGTTGGTTGAGAGCTTAAATCCGGAGTTGTGCAACATGGACATATGCATATACCTACTGGATAACTAGTTCCAAAGATAAAATATGTCTTTCCATCAACTCAGTTTTCAGAGACAACAAATAAATAATATTATATTTAGAGTTTTTTTTTTCTTATACATATATACAAAAGAGATGTAGATTTTAATTTATTTATGCATTTGAGTCAGGACAAAAATCAAAATTTAACTTTTACTCAGAGTTCGTCTATGTTGAATAAATAAACTTGATTTAGTTTTTAGTCCATTGGACTTAGTATACATTTAACCAAAGATCTAAAAATTTCTATTCTAGTCAATTTCATGAAAGATCTAGAAGATAATAGCACCTACTATTATTAATGAGGGTAGTTGCACTACCACAATTAATATTTGTACTAGGCTAGTATAGAAAACTCTAGAATTATTTGGAGTCATTGTTTTGAGGAGGTGTCACTAGTATAAATAGGGGTCATCTCTATCATTTTGTAACAAACCAAAAAGAAAAAGAGTTGTATAGTAATAAAAATGTTCTTTTCCTCCGTGTCTTTCTATAACTTTTACTTTCTTAAATATCCTCCTCGCAACAGTCTATTTACACATAAATAAAAAATTGTGTGGCTTCCAAGAAATTACGTGGAGGAGGTTTAAAGATTTAAACAGTTAAATGTTAAATTATGAATAAATAGATAGGAAAAAAAATATGACTATATGCTATTAACTAACAAATGAAAAAAGTACATTTCCAAAGATGAAGCTCGATTTTCAACACTCCTGTACACCAACTTATGCACATGGACGCGGTAAACATTTAACGAAACTAAAAGCTAAAAAGATTCATTCTTTATTGGATAAAGATCATAAAGCATGATGAAAAACATTTTTTTTGTTTATTTATAATTATATCATGCAATACCTAGTATCTCCATAATAATTCATGGAGTAGTAAAATATCATACCTATGCGTGAGATGATCTTCTTGCTTAGAATTACTCTTAGGTGTTGAAATGCAGTACACCCTTCAATGTAATCCACACTGCGGGTTGAACGGAGAACGCTTCTCTTCCATTTCTTCTTGCTTGAGAATTTGTTAGGTCGAATAAAATTTTGGAGGAATCTATCAATGATGGTTTTACTTCGAGCGCAAGAAATATAAGTACGAAGGGTTTGACCAATTCAAACGGTAGTTGAATAGATAAACTTGATATTTCAACTGTTTGTTTATCTCATTCATTGGTAGCTTTTAAATAGGCGAACATACAATAAATGGTAACAACGTAACCGACTAAAACAAATAAATACTCTATCTAAACAGTCCTACGGTTACAAAGAATTGAATTCAAACAATATACGTTACATATAATTCAAACCTACGGTTACAAAGAATTGAAACAATATAAGTTACATATAATCTCCAACACTCCCCCTCAAGTCGGAGTATGTAAGGATGAAATGCCCAACTTGGGAAGAAAACTAAGAAATAGGACTTGAGTGAGTGACCCCAAGAGAGGTCAGAAACGACTTGAGCCACACAATCTCTGCTGTAGCTGCTCGTCGAAATGAACATCAACATGGAAGATGCCGGAATGATCATCGGCAAAGACAATTATTCTGGAATGACCATCAGCAACATGGACGGTGCTCCCCCTCAAAAGGAACTTCTAAACAGTGCCGGAATTATCATCAGCAAAGACAATTGTGTTGGAATGACCATCAGCAACATGGACGGTGCTCCCCCTCAAGAGGAACTTCTAAACAGTGCCGGAATTATCATCGGCAACGACAATTGTGCTGGAATGACCATCAGCAACAACATGGACAGTGCTTGATATTGGCTTTGTTGCTTGATATTGGCTTTGTTGCTTGATATTGGCTAAACTGGATTTCAGTTGATACTGTCTTGGAAAGTTTTGCACTGCATACCTTTCCTCTAGGTCATTCCATAAGTCCTTGACGTCATCAAAGAACTTGATGAATGGTTGAAGTTTTGCATCAATGGTGTTGTGAATCCAACCATTGAGCATCGAATTGCAACTCTCCCGGGCGCGCCACTCTTCGGCATCATCCTCTCCTGGTTTCTTGACTGAACTGGTCACAAAACCCAATTTGTTTTTCGCCTTCAATGCGTTTTTCATGAGCTTGGCCCAGTTGTCATAGTTGGCCTCATCACGCAGCATGACAGTCGTTAACAAGAGACCTGGATTGCCGGATCCAGCCAAGTAAAATGGCAAACTAGTGTCATAGTTGGCCTCACCACGCAACATGACAGTCGTTAACAAGAGACCTGGACTGCCGGATCCAGCCAAGTAAAATGGCGAACTAGGATCAGTTGTTTTGGACTTGCTGCCACCACCTGGTGCCATGTTAAATGAACCAGCTTTCGCACTGAAAGGGAATGCGGAAACGTGTATACTAGGATTGCTCTGATACCAAGATAAACTTGATATTTCAACTGTGTGTTTATCTCATTCATTGGTAGCCTTTAAATAGGCGAACATACAATAAATGGTAACAACGTAACAGACTAAAACAAATAAATACTCTATCTAAACAATCCTAAGGTTACAAAGAATTGAATTCAAACAATATACGTTACATATAATTCAAACCTACGGTTACAAAGAATTGAAACAATATACGTTACATATAATCTCCAACATGAATAGATAAATAGATGGATGGAGCTCTGATACCAAGATAAACTTGATATTTCAACTGTGTGTTTATCTCATTCATTGGTAGCCTTTAAATAGGCGAACATACAATAAATGGTAACAACGTAACAGACTAAAACAAATAAATACTCTATCTAAACAGTCCTAAGGTTACAAAGAATTGAATTCAAACAATATACGTTACATATAATTCAAACCTACGGTTACAAAGAATTGAAACAATATACGTTACATATAATCTCCAACATGAATAGATAAATAGATGGATGGATAGATACGATAAGTGGACAAATAGATTTGATAGATCGATCGATGGCATATCGATGTGTGGAGGAAGAACTCTCGAGATTGTCCATATACGCAATCTGAATCATAGACGAAAACGCAATCTGAAAAAGCAATATTAATCGCACACACATAAGAGAAAAAAAAATCTCTTTTATATTTTTGTGGCAAACTGACAATATCTTTTTCCTTATTAGATAATCAACCTAGCTACTATGGAGCTTTTTCGTTTAATTTCACAGTTGCCCTATTCTTTATTAAGTACTCAACTACTTAACTCAAGAAAAAAAAATCTACTAATCTGTAATCTTAATAATAGACTTACTCATCAAAAAGTTATTGTTGTAGGTCCTCCACCCTAATTAGCCCATATTCAAATATTAGAGCTCATTTATTGTTAGGCTTTTCCTCCTTAATGTTACACAAGACCTAATATTATTTTTGTGAGACTCAAGAAATTTTCACTTTTGATATTCTAGAATCTTCCCTCTTCTTCTATATAAGCTTGTGTTATACGAGAGGTTAGGGTTAGACAATTTTGAGAGCACCTCTAGGGAGAAGCTTGAGTGTTGGACTTTCTTAAGAAAGTTTGAAAGAATAACATCATTGTAGGTGAGATTAGAGTGTACAACCATTATTGGTGAAGTTTGATATCGTGTATCCATTATTTTCATAATGAAAATTTGATTCTAGACTAGTGTCCTGCGGGTTTTTTACTTCTTTATATTGAAGAAGGTTTCGCATGTTAGGATCTGTTGTATTTTTTCTCTCTCCAATGCATTTTTCTATTTTCGCAGCATACTGGCCGACCTGGTGATTCAGACCGACCTCTGATTGTGTGTGCCGAGTTTCAAGCTTGACGTCCGACTTGCAAACGCTCTCGCGCCGACTTGAGGGAACCGAGTTCCCAACATATAATATTGTCATTCACAATCAAACACTTGTATTTAAGATAATATTTTTCTCTCTTCGATGTCATCAATCAACATTGGTGTCTGGTTTCTATTGGAAGAGAATATGGAAAAGTAGGTGAGATGAGAGTATTATAAAAATTTCCCGAATATTAGGTTTCCCTACCATGTACGGCTATACTTGTTGCAAGTGAGATGAATATAGTATAGACAAACTGGACGTAGTCTAAATTGGATGAACCAAGGTAAATCAAATTAATCGAGAGTGGTTGTACACCACAAAGAAATAGGCATTTAGAGGCGATAATTCTGAGGCGGTTTACAATCAACCGTCTGTATCTAACTTTTTGAGGCGGTTCTCACGACCCTTGTGAGTGAGGTCGGAAAATTTTAAGCAAACAAAGGCTGTTATATATTAACCGCATGAGAATTCTTAATTTTAGGCGATTTCAGGGGAATTTGGAGGCGGTTCATATTTGGATTATAAAAAAATACACTAGAGTAGGATTCGAACCCATGCTCATGATGTCCGTTGTAGTGTTTTTAACCATTGTGACCAATAGATTATAATTTTTTACTTTTACCAATTAGTTTTTAAATAGTAATAGTATTAATAAAATTGGTGATTCCATCTACTGAATTCTGATTCCCCCTCGTCTTTATTCACAAAATCAACCCCTTCCCCCCTTTGCACTTTCTCTTTCCCCTCCACTCAGTAAAACTTTCGCGTTTTCACTTTCCCCTTTCACAAATTCACAAAATCAATCCCTTTTCACTTTCCCCTTTTCCCCGCTTTCAGTTTCCCGCTACTGATTTTCTTTGTGTTCCAAAGTGCAATTGATTTTCACTTCCATCGTCTTTGCAATTTCCTTTTTATCGTCCATCGTTCAACGGCGACTAAAGTTTAGGTTTTTGTTGTTGGCTTCAATCTACTCTTCACCGCGTCAATGTCATTGTCCAAAGTTCATGTTTTTCTGACGATTTACTCTTTTTCTCATCCTTTCACCATTTAGGTTTAATTCATTGCCATCGTGGTGCTGTCATTCAACGATGAAGATGTTTTGAGGCTGTGAACGGTGAAGAAGGCGTGCAAGGAAACATCACCCTGCAAACTGAAACTTGGTGAGTGTTCTTCACACAAGTCACCGCCAAGGTGGCTTCTTTACATTGATTTTGTGTTTTGTTTTTTGAATCATTGATTTTTTTTTTCTTTATATTTTCTAGCAAAGTGCATGGCAATTTTTTGGACAGATATTTATTATATTTTTAATTATTTGTAATTTTTTTTGGGCGCATGAGTTGATTTTATAAGTGAGGTTAATGGAAACTTTGAAGTTGCAATTTTTTTACCTTCGATTCTTACAAGTGGTCTATGGCTAGGACTGTTACTGTTGCTGAAATTGGTTATAGTTCTCCACCCTTTGTTGCTCTTGGAACTGACATGGATGTTTAACCTATTCAGGTATGTTTACAAATTACACAGTCTATTTTTTTTCTTTGTTAAGGTCTTGTTGTTTCTTAGTTGGATTTATAATTATAACAAAACCCATTATAGAAGTTGTTTTGAAGCCAAGATATGTGTGTTATTCAATTTTCTAGAAGTTGAAGACTTGAAGCCTTATATTATTTCCTAAATGGTGAAATCATAGACATATAATAGAAGGGGCCAGGGATGGGAGAGTTAATGTTTACAATTTGTGTGAATAAGGAGTTTAATCTATCAAACTCCTTTCTATCTCTAAACCCTTTTACCATCAAAGGTTGACTTTGATGCTCATTGTGTGCCATTTATATGCCCGCTAGATTCAATTTGCAATTGCTGACCTAAAGTATAAAACAATCAAAAGTTATTTAATTGTGTATATAGGAAATTATACAGGCTGTATTATTATTTATTTTATGTAGTTTTGAATTTTGTTTCTTTAGCAACTGCCATTATATTGATATCATTGCTGTTTACTTTTATGTCTTTATTCAACTTGACATTTATATAGTAATTTCTTTTAAGAGAACTTGATTTCTTGGTGCCCAAACATATGCATTATCTCTGTGTCTGTCTATAATCTTTTTCTACATGAAAATCAATAAACCTGACAACTTTCTGCTAATATCTCTGCAAATAAATGGTCATGTGTTTTGTCTTTTTTATTTTTGGGGGAAACAAAATATTGCATTGCAACAGAACAGTGCATGATAAGACATTGATTTAGAATAGTGAATATACAAGAACAAATATTAAAGTCGACTCATTAGAGGTCTTCCCGTTGCATGATAAGACATTGCAATCAAGCCTTTTGATGATAGCATTGTTGTGGATTTAGAACAAAGTTGTTTCCTTTGCAGGTGTCCTTTGCTTTGAACTAGACAACTAATGATGGGGCATGCCTAACAAGTGTAAACTATATAGTAGACTTTTGTCATCTTGTAAGCAAACATTTCAGCTCTCAATTTTAGCCCTTAATTTGTTGAATTCCATATTTCTCCTATTAACCTATTATTACAAGTAAAGTTGTGTTATGTGTTATGTATATTGTGCTTAAATTTTAACTCTAGACCTACTTTGTTTTTTAGCTAGTGTAACAAGTTACCTTTTTGGTTAGGTATTGATTTGCCACCTTTTAGGTTTTTATTCATTCACATATGTTTGTATTTATCAAGTGCAGCAACACTTTAATGTATTTTTTATTCTTCATGTGCGACATCTTAATATATATTTTTATTCTTTAAAATATTTTTTTGCTGCCCATATATAACACTTTAATATACTTTTTTTTATGAATACATGTTTTATTTCTAATGTGCAGCCCCTTAATATATTTTTAATTCTAAATAACTCAAAAGTATTTTCTAATTTTATCACGAGATTTTGCACTTTGAACCAAAATTTAGAAATAGGAAGACAACGCCCATTTAGGAGAGTTATTGAAAACATATACAATCTGTAAGTTGTTTTGTAATGATTTTGTACCCTCCCATATCTTGATGTCGCTGAACGGAACAAATATGGCTGCATAAGCACTAACTCATTATGTGACAAACATTCCTTTGAATTTTAATTTGTACTAATGAGTTTGTTGGTTTGAAGATTGCTCTTTATGTAGATGTTCTGCTACTTCTCTATATGTAATTAAGATACAACTCATTTATAAAAAATTGTTACTGCTTTATTGAGGTTACTAATGATTATTGTGCTCAGTTAATCGGTCAAATAATTTGCTGCAATATTGTTTTTAGATAGTAGAACGTATGGTGAGATGAGAATGAACACTTGATGTAACTGCTCCCACTGTTTCTGTTTCTGATGATAATGCAGGAAATTCTTTTATTTGAACTTTCTTTGTTAATTGTGTGTGAAACTTGTAAATTCAGCATGGCTCATTTATTCTTTTTTTCTTTTGCATAAGGCTGCAGACTTGGGATCTCCGGGACTCAGAAGATCCTCTAATGGTAGTTATGACCCACATTGTGAAGAACCAAATGCATCACCTCTTGCTCAACCTCCACCACTAGCACCAGAATCTTAAATTTTAACTGTTGACACTTTTTGCATTCCTGGATATACACTTTTTGCAATCCATGTATGGACACTTTTTGCTTCCTGGATATAATCTAGCTACATGACATTGTGCATGGATTTCTTCCATGAATGGTTGTTAGTTTTCTGGATTTTTAACTGTTGACATTTCTAGTTAAGTCCCTAGGTTATGGTTGTTGAATATGCACTGTTAGCTAAATTTGTTAGGTTATTACTCCTTCAATGAATGTATGCATATTTACATTCTCGTTTATTAATGGATATGTTTTGTTCTTATTCTTAAAATTCTAATTACTTTTTTTTTTGGAGATTGTAAAATTAACTGTAGAATAGTTAACCTTAACCAAAATAAAAAATGATGTAAAAAAAAAATTATTGAAAATAATTTTTACATACAAAATAAATTAGTATTTTTTTATAAACAAATTTATAAATTATTTTAAAAGAAATATGTTTTCTAAAAAAAAGGTCAAAAAATTACTGAAAAACGAATTTGTGTGCATAAAAGGACAAAAATAACTGCCTATTAAAAGTGCCAGTTAAAAAAAGTCACGTTATTAACCAAAAAAAAATAAAATCACGTTTTATATATGGAGGCGGTTAACGAAACTGCCTGAGAAACATTTTGAAAATTTAACTTTTAATAACCGTCTGTGACCGTGAAGATGTTAATTTGAGGCGGTTTTAAAAACCGCCTCTGAATTCTTAACCAATATATTTGGATGATAATTCAGGCGTTTTCACCCGTCACAGGGATCGTCGGAGTTTACCTCAAGCGGTTAGTCCAGCGGTTGAGATTAATCGTCGGAGGATGACATTGCGACTGTGTTATCTCCGACTGTTGAGTAACCGCCAAATAGAGCAAACAGAGGCGGTTTGAACCGCTTATGAATGATAATATAACCGCCTGTGTATGCTTGGTTTTTGGTAGTGGTATTACCTGCACTTTGCACTTCAACCTGCAAAGTGCAAACCATAAACTCTCATTCATTGCCCTTGTGAGCCACTACACAACAGGTTCTAATCATTTGGGTATTGAAGCAAAAAGGGTCGAAGAAAAATTGGAACTTATGCCCCCCTTCTAGATAAAGAGAGAAAGAGAAGTGTAAATTCTGAATGGGTTCATTTCTTCTATTTTAATTATTTTTAATTTTTATGGGCAATAATATTAAAATGAATTTATCTGTTACATGAATATTATCAATCAATTTTATTTTTTTAAATCAGTTGGTAAAGATATAATTTTTTAATGTTATAAATTTTTTAATATTTATTTTATATATTTAATTTAAAATTATTACTTTTAAATATTTTAAGAACTTATAATAAAAACTAATTTATAAAGTAAAAAAATGTTTAAAAATTAATTATGTAAAAATTTATAAAATTATTTTATAAAGGATATTTTATTCATTTATATCATATCCTGAAATTATTTGGTCTATCTAAACACAAGATCGTAGGATAACACAATTCTATAAGAGTCTTTAACTAATGTATATCAAACACAAGATAGGATATGGGCTTATCATATTTATATCTTTTCCTACTTTTATGCAGCCTTCTTATCCTATTTATCCTTATCCTATCCAATCCAACAAACTAGCCCATGAATAATTATCACAAGATATGTTAAAATCACTTTAATAATTTTTATGTAATTATTTTAGTACTCATTATTAGATTCCATTTTAACGGGAGAATATAATAATTTCCAAGCAAACTCGCAAGTGGATAGTAAATTAAAATTCAGTTAAAAAGATTCAACTTAGGATAAAGATTTTATCCGGATCGAAAGTAATCCCAAAAAAAAAATAACGTTTTTTTTTTCTTGAATTGAAGGAAATGGCTTTTACTAAAAGCATTTTAAAAGGTAGAGTAAATACCTTTTTACTTCCTAACAAAAAGCACGGTCTCCATTTATACCCTTAAAAAAAAAATTAGTCTCGAGGTCCTTGAAAAATTCAAAATGAATCTATTTAGTTGAAATCGTGGTCCCTCACAAATTCAAAAAAAACCCACATTAGTCTCTCAAAAGAATTAAAATGGGTCCACTTTGAATTTCATAGGAACCAGACGACTAATTTCTTTTTGTAAGGAACTAAAGTGGAAATCGTATTTTTTTCAGGGACCCAAAAGAATATTTACTAGTAATTGGGATTGAACTTGTAGCGAAGAATTTTAATAGTTTGGAGAAGGTTACATATTTAAAGTAGATTTCAAATTTAAACTATTAAGAAAGAAAAAATATTTTACAAAGTTAAGCAAAGAAAAATTATGCATTTGATTGGTGAATTGAAACCTTACTACATTTTTAAGAAAATAACTCAAAATGTCAACCGAATTTATTGCTTTCTCTTTTTTTTTTAATTCGTGTAATTAGATTACTAGAGATTAAAAATTTAAAGTTTCATATTCCTTTTGTGAAAAAGAAAAAACATTTTAAAAAGTTAACAAAAGGAAAACCATGCATTTGATTGGTGATTTGAACCTCACTACATTTTTTAGAAAATAACTCTATATGTCAACGCAATTTCTTACTTTCTATTTTTTTTTTCAAATTCATAGGATCTATTTTCACTAAAGCAATCCCAAGCTTGGTTCCATGACCACGACTCATAATATTTTTATGTAATATTTATTGTAAAAGGGTGAGCTTGGTAGAGAGACAGTCACAAGTGTTTGCTTTACCAAGCTTGGTTACTCCATGGCTTCAAAATCTAGGTTAGTGAAGCTTGTTGTCTGCGGGTGTGAGTATGACTATCATGTGAAAAAGGTTACACATGCCATTGACAGATTGAGAAAAGAGAATCCCCGTTAGGGTTACTTTTGTGTTTTGTCCGTTCATGATTGCACCTGAAAAATATACACATCACTGAGAGTAAAAGAAGAAAACGTTTAAGAGAGAGAAAGAGAGACTAGAGTGGCCACTCTGGATACACTGGAAAAATAACTCTAATTATTTGGTTTCTGCTCTGCAAATTCCATCTGCTTCAACCCTAAAAAAAAAATTGTAGAATCTGTAACATACTCTGATCCAAAATTTGTTGGGTTTGGGTTCTTTCTTTCTTACAATGTCAGAAGTCTCACGCTTCCAATTCTGCAACTGACCCTCTTTCAGCAAAGGCAAACCTTTATTACTTTTTCTTGTTACTGAGACAACTTCCTCCATGGCATCAAAATCTAGGTTAGTGAAGCTTGGGGTCTGTGGGTGTGAGTATGAATATCATGTGAAGATCTGATATGGGTTTCTTCAATTGCTTGTGTGTGCTGCTTAGTTTGTTTTATTTATTCATTTTTGTCTGTGTTATTAGTTTCTGCTTGATGGCTTTTGATCTGATAATTATGATATGCCGCTGTTGAATTTTCAGCTAAATGTTCTAATTTTCAAATTTAAGTGTGTTTCTCTTCTGTTCATCTATTGAAAATTTTGAGTTTTTGTTTATGTTTTCTAAAATCTTTCTATGTAAAATTCAAAATTTCGTTTCACTTTTTTTTTTCTTCTTCGTATTTGCTTAATCCGTTTTGATTTTGTACAACTATGTTAGTTAAGGCATATTAAAAAATTTATTGGTTGCATCACTATCTGCGGTTCTTGCCCTAATTTTCACTTGTTGTTCAATGAATTTGGCATAATGATTGCTTTCTTGTGGCTTAGATCCATCTATCTGATTGGATACAACTAACGCATTTTGTTTTCTTATCTTGTATTGTTTCACGTATGTTTCATTTAATGTATCGTTGATCAGCTATTGACATTATGAATTTGATAGATCCAATCTGTCTGAAAATCCCAACAAAGCATGATTGGCTACACCAAGAGTCAGTAAAGTTAGCAAAATGTTAAAGTACTGAATAGTCATACACAATCACGTCAGAGCAAAGTCTTACACAATATATCACCTCGCTTTTATTTTATTCAAATAAACGAGTTAATACAATATGAAAAATGACGTAAAGCCATAAGAAATATCAAAAGGGCTAAACCTACGTTGAAAACCTCGCCCCCACCTGGCCTCATTAAAACCTTTTCCGAGTAAAAACCATTTAGGGAAAACCTCAGAAAGAAAAAAGAGTACCAGGGATACAAACTACACGAAATGCATCATAACTGATAGGAGGAACGTCTACTATACGAATGTAAGCCAATATCTTAAGCATAATAATTCTCATTTTCTTGTAGATTTATGATGACAAGAGAACAATTGGGCTTGTACTTCTTCTTGGCATTTTATCCCATTCACCACCTGCCATAGATAGGAAAAGAAAATTATTGTGTGTTCCAAATACGTTCTTAAGCTATATACTACCAAAAAAAAAAAAATGAAAAAATTACGTTCTTGTGCTTCAATCTATACATGAAAATGTACTTATAGTTTCATAATAAAAAAATATTTTAGAGTATTACAGAAATATATCAAAATGAAAGGAAATTTTTTTAATGCATTTAAAAGACTTACCCCTCAGAGAAAAATAAGGATCAATGAGGCTAGTTAATGATGTTTTTACTTTGAGCGCAAGAAATATAATATGGAGGGTTTGACGAATTCAAACGGTAGTTGAATAGTTAAATAGATGGCTGGATAGATAAGATAAGATAGATAAATAGATTGGATAGATCGATGGATATATATATATAAGAAAGAAATAGTTTGTGGTTTATAAGGGGATTTATGAGCCCAATCATATAGCGTAATTTATGTATTTAAACTGCTTCAGTCCAACTTAACGATCCACACAGTTAAGCACCAAATATTTTTTTAGTTAATTCAATTTTGTAATTAATGTTGACTCCAATAAAGCGAGATGTTTTTATCTTCTATGTAATACATAAAAAAGAGGCGATCAGTTGCAGAAAAGTTCGTGAGGTTCAAAATTTGCCGACAACAAGTACAGGAGCTTGCCAAACTGAGCATATAGGAGTTTTGGCACATTCCCATAGTAAATCCCCTAATATACTAATAATGATAATAATATTTTAAGTTTGAAAAAAAAAATTATTCATTTCAGCAATATATATTCTCGTGCGTTATAATTATATATACAATCATTAATTTATAACCAATTTATATTTTCCCAATTTATATTTTAGTAACTTATATATATAAAAATATATATATAATCATTAATTTATAACCAATTTATATTTTCCCAATTTATATTTTAGTAACTAATATATATATATATATATATATACATATTTATGTTTTTG